GACACTATTAATACAAACACTGGATTTCTGTCTTATTAAAACACTCTGTAACCCATTAACCCCCCTTTTTTGTCCAATGGCTGCAGGGGTGTTAACTACCCACTTCACTTCGAATTCACTCCTTATGCTAAACAATCTGGTCCACCTTGAATTTAGCTGTGACACTCTGAGTACCTTCCCAGCCCTGAAGAAGAGCTCTGTGTAGCTCGAAAGCTTGTCTCTTTCGCCAACAGAAGTTGGTCCAATAAAAGATATCACCTCCCCCACCTTGTCTCTCTAATCGATAGACAAATTCAGGCTAGAAATAAGGAACAAACATTTAACAGTGAGGGGTAATTAACCATTGGAGCAGCTTACCTAGGGATGTGGTGGTATATTTGTCACTTACACTATTTAAAACAAAGTTGGACATCTTCCTGAAAGACATGCCGTAGCCAAACCAGGCGTTCTGGATGCAGGAGTCACTGAGGGAGGTTCTCTGAGCTGGGCTCTGGAGGTGGTCAGACCAGGAGATTGGAAAGGATCTGTCTGGCCTTGATTGTGATTCTGATGGTCCCCTTCGTTTGGCTTCAGGAGGATAAGGCTGGGACTGATTTCTCTGCAGCTCATGGCCTGCTTTTATAGCCCCCAAAATAAAGTGGATTCTTTCACAACCGGAAACGCTGTGATGGATTTATTCACCCTTCCCACAACAGCTGCAGATGTGGATGTCACGTCAAGACAAGAGACACCCTGCTACGAGAATGAACTCGCTATGTGACCTTTGCAAGTTTAACGTGTGCCAAGGACCATATGTTATGAACTATGGATGAAGCACATGTAGGCTGGGACTGAACCCACAACCTTCAGCTCCAAAAGGCATCTGATCTGCTCATGTGCCACGGGTAGATTACCAGGTTTTTGAGTGGATTGGGGGAGGAGAATGCTGGGCAGGGTGGACTGGGCAATTCATTTGCAGTGCCAAAAATACTTCACAGGCCCCTTTGCGTGATGGATAGGAAACTGTTAAAATGACAAGTTGTTGCTTTAAGTCTATAAGGGGATTCCTGGTCCTGCTGGCAGGTAGAGTGGTCTGCAGGGAAGCCTGTGATCGGGATCTCATGCAGTCAGTATGCAAAGAACCAGCCTAGAGTAAGGCAGGATGAGTTGAGCCTCCCCACTGTAGGGAGCAGCCTGCTTTGTCTCCTCCTGCTTTTGCAATGACTGGGGCATGGGTGGTCAGGCCTACCGGTTGGAGCAGAAGTCAGGCCTAGTGGTCGGAGCAGAGGGTCAAAACCAAAGACAGCATCAAATACCAAGCAGAATGTCAGAGCCAGAAGCCATGCCAGAGGTCAGAGCCAGAGACAACATCAAGTACCAGGGGTAAAGCAGAGGAGCAGGAGAGCAGGAACTGGGAGTAGATGGGTGTGTCGTTTCCCTCTGGTATTGTCTGGACTGGTGATCTGCTAGGTCACTCCAATCCTTGACTCTGGGAGCCAGCCTTACCCTGCTCTGCTGTGAGAACCCCACTCCTGGGCTGATCACGCACAGCATCTGGCATGTAAGCCCCTCCCAACTACTTGCAAGTGAATGACACTAGTCAATATCTCCGGTCCCAGACACAACCCTAGGAACCTACGCCTTGCAGTGTCCAGTTATGCCCGCTGGACACTGCAAGCTTATATGAGTTCATCAATTTAACAAAGAAATTGATATATACCAGGCTTGTTATCCCAAGGGGAGCCTTTGACATGCTTCAACCCAAACGCACTGCTTCCGGTAGAACAAATAAACACATTAATTAACTACAAAAGATAGATTTTAAGTGATTATAAGACAAAGAATAACAAGTCAGATTTGGTCAAATGAAATAAAAGCAAAACTCATTCTAAGCTGATCTTAACCCTTTCAATGACCTTACAAACTTAGGCCTTGGCTACATTTGGGGATTCACAGCACTGCCGCCAGTGTAGTCGTGCCGCCAGCGCTGCAAGAGCTTTCTCGCAGCGCTGCGAGTGCTCCACCTCTCCGAGGGGAATAGCTTGCAGCGCTGCGAGCGAGCGTGCAGCGCTGCAGGCACTGATTACACTGGTGCTTTACAGCGCTGCACTCGCTGCGCTCGGGGGGGGGGGCGTTTTCACACCCCTGAGCGCAGCAAGTTGCAGCGCTGTACAGCGCCAGTGTAGCCAAGGCCCCAGATGCTTCTCACCACAGCCTGTCTGGCTGCTCTTCAGCCAGGCTCTCCCCTTTGATCAACGCTTTAGTCGCTTGGTGGTGGTGTCCACAGACTTTACATCTTTGTCCCATAGACACTGCTTTACATCCGCCTTAATATGCTTAGGAAATGCTCTTGAGTAACAAGATCCAACATTCCCTCAAAACTTGCCGCCTCCTGACCCCGCACCCATTTCCCCAACAAATCGATCATTTGGTTACATATTCCCCATTACTCATCCCAATAGCCCTCTTCAGATTCCTAAATGTAAACTCGATATGTTTCAGGGGTAATCTGAAAACTTCGCAAAACAGTATCTTTAAATTTACGATAGACTAAAGCATCTTCAATAGGCATTCCACTGACTACATTTCGAGCTTTGCCAGTTAATTTCGCAATCAGGGTAGGAACTCTCTTATCATCAGGGATTTCATGTATTACACACAGCCTTTCAAAGGTACTCAGATATTCAACAATATCATCGTCCTCACTGTATGCAGGACATAAATGTTCCCATTTGTGAATTTTTGGAGTGATGGGAGTCGTTGGGTTGGGGGGGGGGAAGAGATTCTGGTTCTGCTTCTCTAGCTGGTCCAGTTGGTGTTTTCGCTCTCTTTCCCTTTCTTCCCGCTCTCTCTCTTTTTCTTCCATGGCCCTGCTGTGTGCAGCCTCCTCTCTGGCTGCTTCCCTGGCTGCCTCTGCCTCCATAGTTTCCCTGGCCACAGATGCTTCTTTGAGCAGAGGGGCACTGCTGGCACATATCACATTAGTAGATGTACAGGTGACAAACCTGTAACAAACCCCACTGCTTCTGCCCCCAGTTGCCTTCTCTGTTCCCATATCTACTCTAGCAACATCATCAGAGGACCCAACCCAGGGCTGGTGCAAGGATGTTTCTCGCCCTAGGCGAAACTTCCACCTTGTGCCCCCCTCCTCCCCGAGCCCTGTGGCAGCTGTCCGCCCCCTCCCCCCCGCCCCGAGGAGCCGGAATAGGGGCTGCAGCCTGGCGCACTCCAGGTAAACATGCACCAGGGTCTCCCTCACGCCGCAGAAGGGGCAGGTGTCTGGGATAGGGGTAAACCGCACCAAGTACATGCCCGTACTCACGGCCCCATGAAGGAGCCGTCAACTGATGTCCCCGGCAGGCCTCGGGATCAAAGTAGAGTAAAGACTGGCCCACTGGGGCTCCTTACCCTCCAGGAGGTCCTGCCACTTTGTGTCAGGGCAGGACGCAAGGGTGAGGACATGAAGGACATGGAGCATGAGCATGTATAGATGTTTCCTTGGCACAGTCTGAAACAGAACCGGCTGAAGATCATGCAGTTGGCGCATGGCGAAGGGACGGGGGGTGGGGCAGTTGGGTCCAAGGGGCAGGGGCCCGATGAAAAGGTCTGGAGGGCTCGGAGTGGAGGGTGGACAGGGCGTGCCCTCTCGCAGGACCCGGTCGAGATAGACCCGAGCAGCGGGCGGCAAAGCAGCCTTCACCTCCTGAAGTACGCGCCGGGGAGTACAAGGTCTGGAGAGCCCCATGCGCCGAGCGAACATCAGGGGATCCAGCCAGTCTCCCTGGTCGTAGTCCAGGAGGTCTCCGACTTTGGTGACTTCTGCCAGGACCAACCTCTGGTGCACCGAGGGGGACTCCGCCACCTGCACACGGAGCAGGGGGTTGTGTAGCAGGGGCTCTGCAAGGAACTCTGCCCCCACGGTGGCCGCCACGGACCTGGTCACTGAGAACAGTTTCCAGGTCTGCAGGAGATCCTGGTAGAAGACCGGCAACCCAGAGAGGGCTCACGGAAGACCTCTCGGATGGAGACAAAGGAGCTGCTGGTCATATCGGAGCCCTCGGAAGCAGCGCAAGAAGGCGTGCGCCAATTCGCTCCACGCCAGACTACCTGCACCATAAAGGAGCCTCTGCAGGGCCTGGAAGCGGAAGACGTGAACCTGAGAGTGCAGACACTTCAGGCCCTGCCCTCCCTCCTCCAGGGGTAGATGGAGAACCCCCGCAGAGACCCAGTGCAGTCCTGACCAGAAGAACTCCAGAATCGATGTCCGGAGGTTGGCCAGGAAACCTGGGGCCGGGACCAGGGTGTTGAGCCGGTACCAGAGCATGGACAGGACTAATTGATTGAGCACCAGTGCTCTCCCTCGAAGGGAGAGACACCGGAGTAGTCCTGTCCATTTCCGGAGCCGCTCCGACACCCTGCCCTCTAAACCTAGCCAGTTCTCCGGCGGAGATGGATGCGTGGCAGAAAGGTAAACGCCCAGGTAGAGCAGCGGACCCGCGCTCCACCGGACGGCCTGAAGCGCGGGTAGGAGGGAGCTCGCTTGCCACCCGTCCCCTGCCACCAGGCCAGAGCTCTTGACCCAGCTGATCCTGGTGGAGGAGGCTGCCGAATAGATGGTCTGGCAAGCCTCCACCTGCACCAAGTCGCCCGGGTCCTGGACCACGAGAAGCACGTCGTCGGCGTATGCCAATAGGACCAGCCGCAGCTCTGGCTCCCGCAGCACCAACCCCGTCAACCTCCTACGGAGGAGACAGAGGAAGGGCTCGATCGCCAGAGCATACAATTGGCCTGAGAGGGGGCACCTTTGACGTACTCCTCGCCCAAAGCTGACCGGTTCGGTCAGGGTCCAGTTGAGCCTGACCAAACACTCTGCGGAGGCATACAGCACCTGGAGAAAACCCACAAACTGGGGCCCGAAGCCAAATGCTCGCAGAGTGCCCAGGAGATACCCGTGGTCCACCCTGTTGAACGCCTTCTCCTGATCCAGGGACAGGAGGGCGAACGACAAACCATCCCTATACCCGAGTTTCAAGAGGTCCCGGACCAGATACAAGTTGTCAAAGATGGTGTGGCCCGGGACGGTGTAGGTCTGGTCTGGGTGGATCACATCCGCCAGCATGGACCCTAGCCGCAGCGAGATGGCCTTCGCCACGACTTTATAGTCCGTGCTGAGGAGCGAGATGGGACGCCAATTCTGTAAATCGCGGCGGTCCCCCTTCTTCAGCAATAAGGCGAGCACGGCTCGCCTGCACGAAAGAGGGAGGACCCGACCCTGCAAGGCCTCGGCCCAGACGGTGACAAGGTCCGGGCCAAGGACATCCCAAAACATGCGGTAGAACTCCACGGTCAGCCCGTCCATGCCCGGAGATTTATTGGTGGGCATGCGGCGGAGGGCTTCCGAGAACTCGGCCAGAGTGAGAGGCTGCTCTAGCCGGTCTTGGTCGCCCGCGCTGACCGTTGGGAGTTCATACCAGAGCATTCTGCAAGCGTTAGGATCGGTCGGATCCGGGGAGAAAAGGCCTGCGTAGAAGGCCCCGGCCCTCCCGCACATCTCCACCGGATCTGTGAGGGGGGTGCCGTCTTCGGCTAGAAGGCAGGTGACGTGTTTCTTGGCCCCCCTCTTTTTCTCCAGGGTGTAGAAGAAGCGGGAGCCGTGATCCATCTCCCAAAGGAGGCGGATACGGGATCGAACAAAGGCACCTCGGGCTCAATGGTCCTCTGAGTCCAGAGCTCCTCCCGCTTCTCCCGGCACACTCCACAGAGGGATGGATCACCGGGATGGCGGCCAGACACCTCTCCAGCTCTAAGACCTCCCGTTCCAACTGCCCTATCTCCGAATCCCTCCGTCGGCTGGCGCCCCGGGTGTAGTCATGGCAGAAGAGCTGGGCGCGCACCTTCCCTAGGTCCCACCACCGCCGCGCCAAGGGAAAGGCACACCGCTGTCCTCGCCAGGCCAGCCAGAACTCCCGGAAGGACGCCACAAAGCCCACATCCTCCAACAAGCTATTATTAAAGTGCCAATAGGCCGGCCCCAGCCTCTCTGTGCAAAAAGAGCTGTCATGGTGGCCAGATGGTGATCTGAAAAAGGGGCCGGCCGGATGCTGGAGGAGTGGGCCCGTGAAAGATGGAAGCATGACAAATAGATGCGGTCCAACCGGGAGTAGCGCGACCGATGGACCTCCACCCAGACAAAGGTGAACGTCGAAATGTCATCCGGGTGGTGGTCGCGTCAGACGTCCACCAGGGAGTGATGTTTGATGATCTCCCAGAGGACGTCCGGAGTGGCCGGGCACTGTTCGGTTCCCAAGCTGTCCCGTTCCTCGAGGGTGGTGTTAAAGTCCCCGCCCAGGATCAGGCACTCGCAAAGATCCAAAGTGCCGAGGAAGGCAGACGCCTGCTGATAAAAACGCAACCTCTCCGGGCCCGATGTCAGGGTGTAAACGTTGACGAGATTGACCACAAGTGCTTTGGCCACAGCCTCGGCGACCCCCAGCACCTCGGGCCGTAGGTCGGGGGAGAACAGGGTCGCCACTCCAGCCATACGAACTGTGAGGTGGCTAAAGTAGACCCTGTCCCCCCACTCCAGCCGCCAGCTAGCTTCAGCGGCCGGATACGTATGGGTCTCCTGTAGGAAAATCACAGAGTACCCCCACTCCCGAAGGAAGGAGAGCACCTGGCTCCTGCGGAGACCCATCCTACAGCCCCGGGTGTTCAATGTTGTGAAGATGATCGGTGCCATAAGGAGGGCTGGGGGGGATCCTCACTGGCAGAGATGCCCACGGCCTCCTTCGGGCAGCGCAACAAACCGTGACCTACCCCATGGGCGATTAAGGAGTCTCGGAAGAGGCAGACCCGCTGGTAGGCCACGGCGGCCTGCTTCCCGGTCCTCTTACCCTCCCCCATGAGGGCCCTCGCGGCCCAGAGGATCTGATGGAAATCCCCTCATCGCTGGAGTGCAAGCTGTACCTTGTGACGGGAGCCATGGATGTCCTCAAGGAACTCACATAGCTCCTCTCTCAGCATATGGGGGGGCAGGGTTACCGATCTATGACTTTCCCCCAGTGGGGCTCCTGTCACAGCCCCATGGCCCATTGAGATGGGCAAGCAGGGGGCAGACCCTCGACGTGGCATCCAATGGGCCGACGCCACATGGTCTGCCCCGTTCCCCGGTTCAACAGGGGACGGTGGAGGGAAAATAGCAGCCCCTGGTGGGTTGGGACAGGGAAAAACAAGGCCGCTCCTTGGGGGTCATCCTCTAGGATATGGAAGGAGACAGCCCCGGGGTGGCAATAGCCTCACGGGAAGTGGAGGGGATAGGGACGGGGTTGGTATCAGGGGCAGGGCCGGGGTTAGGAATAGGGACGGGGAAGGGGTGATAGTGGGATCGGGGGCCCCAGCAGCCAGGCTACTGGGGGGTGGCACCTCGCAGGTGGGCTCAGGGATCTGCAGGGTGGGAGGGGGCCCTCGGCGATGCCAGGCTCGTGCTCCAAGGCAGATGGTAAGGCCATGGCATCCGTAGGTGGAGAATCAACGATGGGACCCCCACCCGGAAAGGAGGTCGGCTGCCCCGCAGCCACGAGGGAGTCCCCTGGCGACTCGGGTCCCGGTTGCCTGGCACTGGCTGTCACCTCAAGAGGCTCGGCAGCCGCTAGCGGGGTGCCATCTGCGGCCGGGTTGGTGGAAGAGTCCAGGGGCGCCTCAGAGGTGGGAGCGGAAGGAGTGGATAAGGGGACGGAACACGGGGAAAGGGGGGCTGAGGCGAGGTCGCTCAGATCGAGGCCCGCTGGCAGAGGGTCGTCCTCCCCCTGGGTAACCAGGGTCAGACCCAGGGCCTCGATCTCCTCATAAGTGGAGGGGAAGATCACCATCCACCACCCCAGGGCTCTCCCTGCCAGCACCCGAAGCGACGCTCGCCTTGGTGCTTGCAGGGGCTTCAGATTGTAAGGGGGCGAGAGGGGCTCCATCAGGGGCTTCCATAGGAAGGGACTCCGGAGGAGGGGCAGTGTTATCCTCCGGTGCTGCCACGTCTTCCCTAGCCGGCAATGGTGGACAAAATTCACCTGGGGGCAAAGTGGAATGCTCGGCAGCAGTGCCCTCTTTCCTGGTCTTCCAGGGGGCTTCCGCATCAGATGGGATGAGAGGAGCTCGAGCCTTCCGCTTGCCCCGCTTCCCCCGTGCTAAGGGCCAGCCCTCCATGGCATCATCTGGGGGCTGGCTAACAGGAGTTGGGTCAGGGAGCAAGGGCAATGGCTCAGGGACACGGGGAAGTAAAGGTGGGGCAGCATGTAGGAGGGAAGAATCTCCTTGGGGCGGGCTCTCTGCTATGCCCGGCGGTATCCCTACCTCACCCTCCTCCACAGACCCCGACAAATCGCAGGCAGCAGAGGCAGGGCCTTGCTGCTTGTCTGGGTGCACTGGGGGAGATACCCCTTGGGCCCAAGTGGGAGCGTTGGTGGGCCGAAAAGGAGGAGGGGCGGCTTCGGGTGCCGGGCAGCCAGGGGCACCAGCGGTGATGGGGCCAGCGCCCTGCCGGGGCTCGGGGGTCCCGGATGCCCCTCTGTGCCGGGCCAAGGGGCAGTCCCTTCGGACGTGTCCCATTGCCCGGCAGAGGTAGCACCAGGCCTCCCACGTTGAATAATGCACCCAGTAGCGGGCCCCGTGATAGGGGACCAAGAAGGACCCCTCGAGCGCCTCACCATCACACGCCACCAGCGGCAGTTGTAACTGTACCTGCCGGCGGAACGAGAGGACATGACGGAGGGCGGGGTCTTTGCAGCCCAATGGGAAAGGGCTGACCACAGAGATCGGCCTCCCCAGGATAGAGAGGGCGGGTAACAGGGCGGCATTAGGAAGGAAGGGAGGGACAGAGGTCAGGACCAGTCAGGCACCCAGGTCTTCTAGCGACTCCAGGGGGACGAAAATGCCACCCACCGCCAGGCCCTTCTCCACCGCCTCCTGGGCGCGGCCTCCGATGCTAGGAAGAAGACGACCTTTCCGTACATCTTGGAGGCCGCCACACTGGCCGTGGGCCCCACCACCCTCGCCAACGCCTGCACGTAGGTCTCCACGTGGGGCGAGGCGGGTACCAGGAGGCAACGGATGCCGTGCTTCCTGGTCAAGATGGGGAAGGGGCCCCAGCCACTATAGATGGTAGCAGAGGCAGTGGTTGGTTGAGATGATGATGCAGCGGCAGGTGGGGGGGCCCGCCGCGGCAGTGGGGGCAGCCCCCGCCATGGAGGGCCTGGCCTTTTTGGTGGGGCCTTTACCTTTACCTTTCTTTGTGCCCTGGCTAGGGTTACCATACGTCCGGATTTTCCCGGACACGTCCGGCTTTTTGGGCCTCAAATCCCCGTCCGGGGGGAAATCCCAAAAAGCCAAACATGTCTGGGAAAATAGGGGACATGCGGGGCCGGGGCTGGGGGTGCTGGGCCGGGGGCCGGCTGTGCGGGGCCGGGGGTGCTGAGCCGGGGGCCGGCTGTGCGGGGCCGGGGGTGCTGAGCCGGGGGCCGGCTGTGCGGGGCCGGGGGTGCTGAGCCGGGGGCCGGCTGTGTGGGGCCAGGGGTGCTGGGCCGGGGGCCGGCTGTGCGGGGCCCGAGCCGAGCCAGGCTGGAGACGCCGGGGCCGGGGCTGGAGGGAGCCGCTCGGTGGGGGGGGCCAGACTGGGCCACGCCTCCTCCCCGCCCCCAGCTTACCTGCTGCCTGCTTCAGGCTTCCCGCGCATCAAATGTTCGTTGGAAGCAGGGGAGGGGGCAGAGTTGGGGCGGGGACTTTGGGGAAGGGGTGGAGTTGGGGTGGGGGCTGGGGACGGGGCTGGGGCCCCGTGGAGTGTCCTCTTTTGGAAACACTCAAAATATAGTAACCCTAGCTCTTCCTGCCGGCTGGGGGGCTCCCCCAGAGTCGGAGGAGGCAAGGGATGTGGCCGAGCGCTACAGGCTTTGGGCAGCCCCCATACCTCTGGACCCTGCGCTGCCGGAGCCCGGGAGGGGAATTGCCCGACCGGGGGCGCAGGGTCCGGAAGGCAAGGGGGCTGCCCGAAGCCCAAGCGCTACCGGCTTCACGGTTTGCCGGGCAGCCTCCAGACCCTGCGCCCCCGGCTGGGCACTTCCCCTCCCGGGCTCC